TTCGCGTGCACCGTTCGTTAATTTTTTCGTTTCTTGTTTTAATTTTTGTTAATTAACATCAGAGGTTTTTCTCGATTATTTGATATGGACCTATCCATGATTCCAATTTCTTCGATCGTCCTCTACGCACTGCTTCGTCATGCAGGAGGACCTTATCTCCTATTTTGAAGGTTTTAGTATTCGTATTTTTATCTGCATAATTTTTTGCCTTTTGTTTTGCTTCGCGAATATGTTCTTTCGCTACTTTCTGTGTGGCTCTGAGTCGTTCTCTTAGTTCTTGCGCGTAGTTATCGTATGTATAATATGGTTTCGGCGGCGCTGCCAGGGCCGTGGGTAATGTTGCTCGATGCCCGTACATCAATTCGAACGGTATATAGCCCATTGTTGTATGCGGTGTCGTATTGTATGTGAACATCGCGTATGGGATCCATTCATCCCAGTTGGTTTGATCCTCGTTTATATAGTATTGCCTTAGTAGTGCCTTGAGTATTCGATCAGAGTCCTGTGCGATCTCTCCAGGGCTCCGTTGCTTTCAAGATGGTACGCGGTTGTTTGAATTTTTGTTATTTTTAAAAGGGTGCATACATCCCTGAACATTTCACTGACGAAGTTCGTTCCTTGATCTGTCAGTACTCTCCGGTATTCCGAATTCGCATATTATTTTTGTGGTGAACTCTTTGGCAATCGTGTTTGCTTCCTAGTCTGATGTCGGTATTGCTTTACTAAATTTTGTTAAGTCGTCTTGAAATTTATAATAGCAGTGTTGTACCCTGGATGGGCTACGGAATTGGTTGCGATGGCGTGGCCGTATTCACGCGTCGACATTCTCGTTCTTCTTTATCCTCTATTACGCGAGCTTTTTGTATTTCTTCGTATTCGGTGGCTTGGTCTGTAAGATCGTGTAACGTGGTTCTTTCGTTAATCCGGACGAACATTTTATACTCGGCCCTCATGTTCTCGTAGAATCGGTCTATTTTTTCGGGTGTCAAGTGAAAAAAGTAAATTTCTTGTTTGATACGGGAGCATCAGCAACAATAATAAAACTAAAACATGTTCTAGACCACGTCCTAATCTATGAAGAGAAAACTAAACTAACAGACATAACAGGACATGAAATAATAACATTGGGCAAAACACATGTTACGGTGCAACTGTCGTGAAAAAAGATACGACACCCCGTACACATAGTGCGAGATAATGCGCCAATGGAATACGATGCAATCCTAGGAGCAGATTTTATTTGGAAATACATAACTGCGTTCAATCCAAAAACAAATTCAGTACAATTTCAAAATACGAAATTCAGACTGTACCCATACAGGCGCGTAACGTTAGGGCCGCGCAGCGAAACAATCGTGCAAGTCACGACTAACCAAAACATAATTGGATTGACAAAACCAAAGGAAATGATACCTGGAATTTTTATTGGATGTTGCCTAGTCAAACCACGAAATTATACATGCCCAATAAGTATAATAAATATTACGGAAGAAGAAAAAACCGTTCAAGTACCGCAAGTAATATTAGAAGAAATAAATATACAAGAAAAAATAACACAGGAATCTGTGAACGCAATACAGACAAAAATAAAGAGACAAAATTAATAGCTCGAGAAGAGCAAATAAACAATTCCTTGCGCACAGAACATTTAAATGAAGAAGAACGAAAATCTGTATTAAAATTATGTCACGAATATAATGACGTGTTCCACCTAGAAGGGGACACATTATCGTGCACAACAAAGATTAAGCATGAAATATCAGTACGAACAGATTCATCACCAGTAAACGTACGACCTTATCGTTTAACGGAAAAACATAAAGACGAGGTAAATAAACAAATTCAAGAAATGTTGAAACAAGAAATTATCAGACCGAGCGTCAGCCAATGGAACGCACCACTATTAGTCGTGCCCAAAAAGACAGACGCGTCAGGAAAAACAAAATTACGAATTGTAATAGATTTCAGAAAATTAAATGATTTCACAATCGGAGATTCATCCCCGTTGCCCAACATAACGGATATTGACTTGATCAGCTGGGCAACGCGAAATACTTCACGACACTGGATCTCGCATCAGGTTATCATCAGATATCAATGACGGAGCGAGATAAAAATAAAACGGCATTCTCTACACCACACGGTCACTATGAATTTAATAGAATGCCATTTGGTTTAAAAAACGCACCTGCAACCTTCCAACGACTAATGAAATCAACAGGGTTTAAACAGGGTTGCAAGGAATTAAATGTCGAGTGAATCTTGACGATATTGTAATATACGATCCTAGCCTAATAAAACATAATAAAAGATTAAAATTAGTTCTCCAAAGACTAAGAGAGAACAATGTAAAACTCCAACCGGACAAGTGCGAATTTTTACGAAAAGAAGTAATTTATTTAGGACACATAATTACGGAAAGTGGAATTTCGCCAGATCCATCAAAATTGCACGCTGTAAAAAATTTTCCTATGCCCAAAAAGGTAAAAGATGTGCAATCATTCATCGGATTAGCCGGATACTATCGAAAATTTATCGAAGATTTCTCACGAATAGCAAAACCTTTAACAAAACTCACAAAGAAAGGAGAGAAATTTGAGTGGACCGAAACACAACAAAACGCATTTGACATGCTAAAAAATAAATTAACGACGGCATCGATATTAAAATATCCCGACTTCACGAGAGAATTCCTCCTAACCACGGATGCATCGGACTATGCAATAGGAGCCGTCTTATCGCAAGGCGAGGTAAGTCAAGACCAACCCGTCGCGTACGCCAGCCGTGTACTATCACGAGCAGAACAGAATTATAATACGACTGAAAAGGAATTACTCGCAATAGTATGGGCAGTAAAACATTTCAGACCTTATTTATACGGGACAAAATTTAAAATAATTACCGACCATAAACCGTTAATATGGTTATTTAACGTAACAGATCCCGGATCACGTTTAATCAGATGGAGATTAAAACCACAACGCACCTATAGGAGGACACCAGGACGTTGAACGAACAATAAATAGAATACGATTACACCACAACTGGCCAGGATTAAAACGAGATGTTGAGCAATACATCTCAAAATATGAATATTGCCAGAAAAATAAATTGCAACGACGCGCTAAAGCACCGTTAATGATAACAGATACGCCAACAAAACAATTTGAGAAATGCGCGTTAGATATCGTAGGACCATTGCCTGTAACGACGATGGGAAACAAATATACATTAACATTTCAAGATAATTTAACAAAATTTAGCAAAGGAATACCAGTACAAAATCAAGAGGCAACAACAATAGCAAAAGAGTTAGTGACAAAAATCATTCTAGAATATGGAATTCCAGACAAAATCCTGACCGATCAAGGAACAAACTTTACCAACGAATTATTTAAAAATACGTGCAAATTATTAAAAATACAAAAATTACAAACGACGATCTTGATCTATCATCCAGAAACAAATGGAGCACTCAAAAGATCACATCGGACATTAACCGAATATTTACGACATTATATTAATAATGATCAGACAGACTGGACGAATGGATACCGTATGCGATGTTCGCATATAATACGACACCGCACACCGCTACGGGATCACGCCGTTCGAACTGGTATATGGGCACCAGGCACCACTACCTACGGCCCTAACGAGTTC